AAAGAGTGATTACACCCATCTAAAATATATGATAAGGATATTTACTCAAGGAAGTGGCACCTAAGCCATGTATGATTAAAATCTAAAATTAGAAAAAGTGGATCAAAAGAATTCCAGCTATAATTAGTCACTGTTGTACAATAATTTTCTCTAAGAAATCAGAATATTTTGAGTTCATTTTTTATCAGAAATATGGCTCCAATTAATAATTTTTATGATATAAAGTTACCTTATGTTTTTCCATAAGTGCTACCATTTCAGCTATTTTATGTTGACATCGTATATCAATTTCTTTCTGTAATTTTACTGCTTCATCAGCTATTAATTTTGCCTTCTCAACCTATCAAATTAAAAGTTTCTTAAAATTAACATACAAAAACAAATTTAATTTGTAAAAAGCATACATGTATATCTATATTAAAGGCAAAACTCAAACTCCAGGAAATTAGAAAAGTAAATAGAAAATGTATACTATTTGGGTATTTTAGGGTGCTTTTTATCAAGTGAATTGACAATGAAACACTGATAAATATTTAAACTTTTAAAAAAGTATATGCTACTGAATACTCAAATATTTATAATTCTTTTAGCTTCTATAAAAACTGATAACTGTCACTAATACACATTTATAAAAACTTATTAAAAATCACAATTTAAAAACTGAGAATATTACTTTTTTCTTCAAATGCAAATAAACAAATATAGAATTTTAGTATAAGTTCTAAACACATTGAGATTTTCCTACCTCTCCCAAAAGATTGTCTTCTGATATCTTTTTGTCCTCAATTTCTTTTTGATAGTTGTCAGACATTTCTTCAAATTTCTGTTTGGCATTTTCTAGTTCTAACTCTAATTTACTGACCTTTAAGTAAAGAAAATAGCATGAATATTAGTAAAGGTTGTGGATTACTTGAAAATATTCCATAGTCATTTTGTATTTTGTGAATCTTAGATAACTTATTCATGGAATAATTAATGGTTGTATTGTTTTCCTTATGTTTTTCATATGGTGAGACATGCTTCATTTTCCACCGTCTCTCTTGCCACCTAAAATATGTATTTAATCTTGAGAAGTAATATAAAATAAGCATTCACATTTATTTTTAAAGAATTTTAACAATATTTAAATCAGTCAACTTCAGTGCTACATGTTTTATTACAATAAGTAACTAGAACAGAAAACCCATATAGTCAAAAGAGAAAGCATACTCTAAAGAGATTAATTTTCTGTAAAGAAGAAACACCCTCAATTCTATTGTTTTATATACTTTGTATAAATATTTACTGAGTTTTATAACTCAAATGTAATAATTATTAATAGAGAAGAAGTGCCCTGAATTAGTACTTACACTCAGATTCACTTTTATCTTAGGGTAGGGATGAATTAGAATTGAGAAAGGGTGTACATGGTAGGGATAGAAATTGGGGAAGGGAAGCATGGATAATTTAACAGTGAATCAGACTACATTCTGTATCCATGAATCAACCATCAACTTTAAGACACAGAACATTACCAATATTGATAAAGGCTTCTGAATATCCCTTTTCATTAGTTTTTCCCTACTGCTCCCTCCTCAAGTGTAACAAACATTCCTGATATTGATATTTTAAAATAAATATTCTTTATTTCCTTGTTCTTCTTTATAACTTTCTTTCAAAATTATATATCCCTAAGTAATATCTGTTTTGAACTTTATGTTTCCACAGTGCATATATTTTTTGTCTTGCTTTTTTAACTCAACAGCATGTTCTAGATAGTTATGTATTTAAACTACATTCATTTCCTCTAAATAGTAGTGTTCCATTATATTATTTTTTTTCAAATATCATTTTATTAATGTCCCATATAAAGGAACTGAAAATATTTTATTGCTTTTCATATCAACCTAAATTGACTGTCAAGTTGTAAGACATAAACAAAGTTTAAAAGTATCTTGACAATTAGAAAAATTGTTTATTAAAAACAAGAATGAGTACCTTAGCGGATAGTAAAGAGTAATAATTGTGGAGACAAATAGAAAATAGAAAATCATGGGCAAGAAAACCCACAAGTTTACAAGCAAATTATTTGACAATCACATTGTAACTACAAGCTAAATAAACCAGAACACCAGTCATTTTAAAAAGCTAATGTGATCATGGGATATACTAGCAAGTACCTAACATGTTAGGTATAAGAAATAACTATACCTGGAATTCATGAATCTCTGTAAACATTATAAGCCTTTATATAACTTGGCTTACAATAACAGGATTTTAGCATCCTTCTCATACTCTCATACAGTGCTCACATGCTCCCCACCTCACTTAGATACAGGCACATAGAAACACAAATGCATAAAATTGTATGTATTTATCAAGAAATAAAGATACAGACTTCTGGACACAGATTTCCAGAAAAAAAATGAGTAAAATTGTTGGGAAAACATATAACGGCAACAGCACCCCAGAGAAAAACCCCAGCATGGCGTCTAACGACCCCCTTTCTCCTCTTTCTTTCACTCTCGAGAAACGTTCCCGCCTGCGCCAACGTTCAAACCCTGCTGGTGGGAAGCCTTAGCCCCAATTAGAATTAACTTCTTGGGCTCCAGAACTGACATATGGAAGAGCTTGCCAATAAACGGGAGACCTGTTATCTACCTCAGCCCTGCGACCTCTCCTTAGACCTATATAAACACACAGCCTTTTGTAATAAAGCGGAAAACTCTTTGGTGATCTGTGTCGTGTGGTGCTGCATCTTCCAGTCTTACAAAACTGAATCTGAGTTCTTATGTATATTTTATCTTCCTTTATTCCACTTTAAAGTCAACAAATCAAGAAATATTTTGAAAGAGCCTAACCATGTGTTTTTTGTTCATTAATATATTCTTGCTTAACTCTTGGTCTCTTCATCCTAATTTTTTGTTTGTTTAGTACCAGGGAGTAAACTCAGAGATGCTTAACCACTGCGCCACATACCCAGGCCTTTTTATTTTTAATTTTGAGAAAGGGTCTCATTAAGTTAGCAGGGCCTCAATAAGTTGCTGAGGCTGGCTTTGATTTTACAATCCTTCTGCCTCAGCCTCCCGAGCTGCTAAGATTACAGGTATGTGCCACTTTGCCCATCTCTCCTAAACTTTAATTGCTTCTTTTCTTATGCTATCATTTGCTGCTAGGACATTGATTTCTCCAAGAATTACTGATAATTATTAGAAAAGAATGTGTGCATGTGTGTGAACATGTGTGTGCACGTGTAAATGCACACAAAACAAATGCTTGAACAGGATTGTATAAAGTAGGCTAGTTGCCCGTAAGTATTCTATCCCTCTCTTTTCAGTAACTATTGGTTTCCAAGTGTCCTCACCCCAGATATCCTTTTTTGATCCTTCAACTTTACCTCCCCTGGGCAGCAAGGACTTTGTGTAAATATATTATATCCATTTTCATCTAAACTTGCAAATCCTATCCTGTAAATTCTTAAGATATATAAGTGCTATTGTGACAAAGCAGCCCAGATATAGGTTTGTATTTTAATTGTAGCACCTGGAAAGAATTTGCCTTAAAGGAAGAAAACAAATTTTTAAACTTGTGATAATATCAAGACCTTTGACAGATGGTGGAAGAGTATATTTGGGGCAATAGTATTTCACAGCATTCCTCATCGTATCATATAAACAATAACTTAGTCCACCTGTGCTCAGGACCTGGTTTGAGCACATAAATGTTTAACAATAATTTTTAAACTTTTTTTAGTTGTAGATGGACACAATACCTTTTTTAAAAATTTTATTTATTTATTTATTTTTTACATACGTGACAATAGTGGAATGCCTTACACTCATTATTACCCATTTACAGCACAATTTTTCGTAACTCTGTATATAAAGTATGTCCACGCCAAAATCATGCCATTATACATGTGGCTCTTTTATTGCATTATAATTCTTAATACACATATATACCACAGTTTTTCAAATGTGTTTGTATATAAGGTATGTTGACATCAAATTCAAATTTTCATACATATATTTTTGTATAATGATGATCATCACATTCCCCCATCTTTGCTAATCCCCCTCCCCCTCCCTTTCCCTCCACCCCTCACAGCTCTCTTTATGTATTCAATTGTTCATAGATCCTTTAACATACTTGTAAACATCTCCTAAGTGCAAAAATATAGCATTTATAACATATGCCTAGGATTGGAATTGCTGGGTCACAGGGCAGGTTATATGTTCAACTTTATAATATAATTAAGTACATGTACCAATTTAAATTGCCATCAACAGTGTTATAACTTCTATATCCTTCACAAATTCATCTAGAGTTGATGATGTAGGTGAAAGTATTTGAGGTTTTGCCATTTAATTTACATTTTCTTAAATATTGAACATTATATATTTAACTCTTCATGTTTGGTGTTCTGTGAAATCTCTGTTCATGTCTTTCACCCATTTATCTATTTTGTATTTCATCTTTCCTTAATGACTTGCTTATTAATTATACAATTCAAATTCTTTTTTCATCATAGTTGGCTCTTCATATCCATAAGTTCTGCATTAGTGGATTCCACCAACCTCAAATTTAAATGTTAGGGGAGAAAACTATATATTTACAGAACATATACAGACTTTTTCTTATCATTATTCCCTTAAAAATACAACTATTTATGTAGCTCTTATACTGTACAGGTATGTTAAATAATCTAGAGATTATTTAAGTATATGGGAAGATGTAAATATGTCATATACAAATTCTATACCATTTTATATAAAGAACATCCATAGATCTTGTTATCTGAGGGACATCCTAGAACAAATCCCCCGTGGATAATATGAATATTAAATATTTCTCCCAGGTTAAGATTTGTTTCTTTGCTAATTAAATAAAAGCTATAAATTAGAGCATATATGAATTTATCAATGTTTTCAAATAAGGTTGTGGTTTATTTTTTAATCTTGTTTAGGAGTTCTTTATAATCGAATCATAGAGATATTCTATGATTTTGAAATCCTGTGTTTCACGTTTACATCCTTGAGGAATTCTTTTTTGTGTATAACATAAGGATATAATAGTCAAATGTCCCAAAACTACATTGCTGCAAGGCAATCTCTGTATTATGTCAGGTTTTCATTTACTCATGCATTGTTTTCTAGGCTCTCCTATCAATTAGTTAGACTACCTTTGTGTCAATATCATACTGTCTTAATTACCTTAGCTATGTAAATAATCTTCATATCTGGTAGGACACACTTCTCTGTCCTTCCTAAAGATTGCCTAGTTAATCTTGGCTAGCTGTTCAAATATATACAGAACATATAGATTTTTTCTTATCATTATTCCCTTAAAAATACAACTATTTATGTAATACACACACACACACACACAATTTTACTTGAACATGTATATAAATTTAAAGTAAACTAGCATTTTCATTTTCACATAAGTAGTATATTTTAAAATTACATTTTACAATTTATTTTTGTAATTGCAGGTGTTTTAAGACTAGTATGATTTCTATGTAATGACTAAGTACCTTACTTAACACACATAATGACTGTATTAATTCATGTAAGTTTCTACATACAAAACTCCTATCTTAAACCACTTGAGTTTGAAGTTTCCCCTTTCAAAGATTTTAAATCACTAATTTGATTTCTTCACTAGGTCTGTCTGGGCTAATTATTTCTTTTTGAGATTTTTTGGTCAATCTATTTCATTTTAACTTTTTTTCAAATATGTTGGTATTATGATATTCACAATAAAGGTTTTAGTTAACTTTAACTTTGGTAAAGTTATGTTGTAATTTCTAGATTAATAGAATTGTGGTTAGAGGATATATCCCATGTGACTTTAATCCTTTGAAATTTATGAAAGATACAT